TTCTTAAAGTTTCCACACAATCCCACAGGTGTCCACTGTCGAGCTACAGACAGGAAGGGGGAGCCGGTAGTTAAATCACTTCCTAAGCAGTTTTCTGCTGTCCCTTCTTTCCAATCAGAGATTTGTGGATGTGTGGGATCACATCTCCCCCAGCTATGGTAGCCTTGATGAGTGAATCCAGCTCTTCATCACCTCGGATTGCAGGCTGCAGGTGACGTGGAGTGATGCGCTTTACTTTGAGATCTTGGAAGCATTACCTGCCAACTCCAGCACGGCACTGTACACAGCAGCAGTGGCTCCCACCCATCCATGGCTTGTGGTGCGAGTCTTCAAGTGTCTGTGGATCCGGCCCACAGGAAACTGTAGCCCAGTTCTCTGTGAGCAGGACACTGGCTTAGCCTTGGCTTTCCCACTTTCTCTCCCAGCTTTGCCTCCTGCCGTGGTCTCGGCCACGCCATGCCCACTGCCGTCCTGTGACGCCCACTGCCATCCTGCGATGCCCACTGTTGCTCTTGCAGCTCCTGAATTAGATTATTGTTCCCAGGAGCATGCTTGTCTCGTTGTCAATTTAAAAAAAAAGAAAAAGAATTGGTGTTATCAAAACATCTTAAATGCCATATTCTATATATCTCTGAAGTGTTTAAAGTCTGTCTAATTAAAATATATCTCTGTTTGACCCTAAAACATACTAATGTGACTACAATTTTGATTGTCATAGGTGACTAATTAGGCCATATGTGGCTAATATCACAATTCAAGGGGTTGTGACCTGCTGTGGAAATGGAATACCCAGATTAACATTCCTGCAGTCCCAGAAACTCATATTTCTGCAAACGATATTATAGGGTACTCTAAAAAATGGTCACCATCCATTCAGGCTGTACAAGAACACAAAACAACTAGCAAACCTTCAGAGGTACCAATGGTCCAACCTTTAAATGGTTAACTGAAGAACCAATATGGGTTAAACAATGGCCCTTAACAAAAGACAAACTGCAGACTTTAGAACAGCTGGTACAGGAGCAACTAGATGTTCAGTATATTGAAGAATCAATGAGTCCTTCTCCTATATTTGTTGTTAAAAAGAAATCTGGAAAATGGAGAATGTTGACAGATCTAAGAGCTGTCAACAAAGGTAGCTCAACCTATGGGCCCTCTACAATCTGAAATTCCTTTGCCTTCCCTACTGTCTAAAGGATGGCCTCTTATAGTTACTGATTTAAAAGATTGTTTCTATACCCTTACAAGAAAACAACTGAGAAAAACTTGCCTTCATAGTGCCTACTTATAATAATTCTCAGCCTAGTAGGAGATACCAATGGATCATATTTCCACAGGGAATGCTCAATAGTCCCATTGTGTGCTTATACTTTATAAGTCAGCCACTGGAAATAATAAGCAAACAATTTCCAAAGCCTATAATTTATCATTAAATGGATGACATTTTGCTATCTGATTCAAACATAGATACTTTGGAAAGAGTGTTTAAAGAAGTAAAGAAAGTTTTGCCTAAATGGGGATTATAAATTGCTCCTGAAAAAATACAAAGAGGAGATTCTATCAATTTCCTAGGTTATAAAATAGGTTTACAGAAAATTAGAACACAAAAAGCTCAAAGACTGATAGCAGACTCTTAATGACTTTCAAAGATTTCTAGGAGACATTTTTAATCTACAACCCACTGTTGGGATAACACCTAGTCTAATAGTTCATTTAAACAAAACCTTAGATGGTGATAGAAACTTAAATAGTTCTATGGAATTAAAAGATGAAGCTGAGAAAGAATTAACTTTGGTTGAAGAGATATTACAGAATTTCCCCTTTTCCACATAAGTTTTTAAAATTTTATTTGTTTATTAAAAATTTCTACCTCCTTCCTCCCATTTTCTTCCCATTCCCCTCACTCCCCCTCCCCCTCCCTCTCCAATCCTAAGATAAGTCAGGGTGCCCTGCCCTGTGGGAAGTCCAAGGCCTTTCCGCGTCCATCCAGGTCTAATGAGGTGTGCATCCAAACAGACTAGGCTCCCCAAAAGCCAGTCCATGCAGTAGGATCAAAACCCAGTGCCATTATCATTGGCTTCTCATTCAGAGAGTTCGCTGTGATCACATGCTCATTCAGTCCCACTCCAGCCGACCTTGGTGTGCTCATATTAGATTAGTCCCACCGTCTCTATGGGTAGACGCACCCCTCATGGTCCTGACTTCCTTGCTCATGTTCTCCCTCCTTCTGCTCATCATCTGGACCTTGGGAGCTCAGTCCAGTGCTCCAGTGTGGGTCTCTGTCTCTATCTCCATCCATCTCCAGATGAAGGTTCTATGGTGATATGCAAGATATTCATCAGTGCGGCTATGGGATAAGGCCAGTTCAGGCACCCTCTCCTCTGCTGCCCAAGGACTTAGCTGGGGACATCTCCACATAAATTCTAAATTTCTTACTCAGTTTATGTGGTAAAAGATCCTTTCTAAGATAATGTCTTCCTTCTGCATTAAAATTCCTTTAGGGGAATGTTTGGAGGGTAATAAGACCAGAATGCTGTTAAGATTCAGATCCACTTGATCCAAATGTGCCTTCTGTAATTTCTCTTCAATCAAAGCCAATTCTCTCTCAGCGTCAGCTGATAATTCTCGAGACTATTTAAGTCCTTGCCATTATCTAAGGTTTTGTTTAAATTTAAATTAATCAGGACCTCTCCCAACAGTGGACTATAGATAGAAAACGTCTATTAGCAATCTTTGGTAGTTATTAAGAATCTGCAATTGGCTGGACAGTGGTGGCACACGCCTTTAATCCCAGCACTTGGGAGGCAGAGGCAGGTGGATCTCTGTGAGTTCAAGGCCAGCCTGGTTTACAAGAGTTAGTTCCAGGACAGATTCCAAAAGCCACAAGAGAAACCGTGTCTCAAAAAATCAATAATAATAATAATAAAAGAATCTGCATTTGATCTCTACTAATTTGTACCTTTTGAGGTTTGAATTTTTGTAGACGACTAAATTTTTTTGTAGACTAATTTTCATAGACTAATTAATTAATAGGATTTCTTCTTTTTTTTTTTCAGGAGCATTTTGTAATCCCCACCAGGGTAAATTTTTTTTTTACCTCTTCAAACATTCTTTCTAAAGTATCTACATTTGAATCATATAGCCAAATGTCATCCACATGTTGGTAAACTATAGATTCAGGAAATTACTTATGTATCATTTCCAATGACTGACTTACAAAATATTGGCATAGGTTGGGTCTATTTAACATTCTCTGTGGGAGAACCTTCCATTGATATCTCTTAGCAGGCTGAGAATTATTATAAGTAGGCACTATGAAGGTAAACTTTCGCTGTCTTTTCCTTGTAAAAGTATAGTGAGGGAACAATTTTTTAAATAAACAACTATAAGAGGCCATCCTTTAGACAATAGAGAAGGCAGAGGAATGCCAGACTGTAGGGAACCCATTGGCTGAGCCACCTTATTAACAGTTCTTAGATCTGTTACCACTCTCTATTTTCCAGATTTCTTTTTAACTACAAATACAGGAGAATTCCAAGGGCTGGTTGATTCTTCAATATGCTGAGCATCTAGTTGTACCTGCTGTTCTAAGACCTGCAATTTCTCTGTTGTTCAAGACCACTGCACAACCATACAGGTTTGTTTGTCAACCATTTTAAAGGTAGGGCTGTTGGTTCCTTTGAAATATCAACAGTTGTTGTGCCCTGTTCTTGTGCAACCTGAACGATCAGTGACTGTTCTTTATAATATCTTGTAATATTTTTACCAGAAACATATATTAATTTATGGTTTGTTTCTAAGATTGGAGTAATGTTAATCTGAGTATACCATTGCTGTAACAAATCACATCCCCATAAATTCATTGCTATGTTAGCCACATATAGTTTTAATATTCCTCTCCTTCCTTCTGGTCCTAGACACTCAACCCATCTTATGCTCTGCTTTACCTGAGTTAAAGTTCCGATTTCTAAAAACTGAACATTTACATCCTGAATAGGCCAATTGGTTGCCAAGGTCTTAACAAGGCCAAAAGGTGAGAAACTACACTTGAGAGACAAGTCCTCACTCGTGGGAAACGATTAGAGGTGGAGAAGAGGTGGCTCACCCATCATACTGGTGTTAGATGGAGGGGCCCAGGGATCTGTTAGTTGGAGAAGCAAGGCTATTGTATGTGGACCGGGTTCCAGGGTCCTGGTGTGCCTCAAACTGCCAGTGGACAGGAGTAAGCTTCAGAAGGGTCTTTCCCAGTCAGGGGACCAATGTTGTAATTTATTTAAAAACTATGCAAAGAAAAGGCTCACATGGTACATTTATTGGAAGAGGAGAGAGAAGGGGCAGAGAGGGGGACAGAGATTGGTCCCGGGGGTAAGAGTGACGGAAGAGAAAGAGAGGATGGGAGGGCGAAAGAGATGGGAGGTGGGCAGGCCCACCTTTTAAAAGGAACACAGCCAATGTACACAGGGGGTGCTCTTAATACCTGCAGCTGAGGACGTACCCTGGATTTTTGATCCAAAGCTCCAAACTCTTTCACACCCCTCCTTCAACCAGTTGCAAGGTCTTGGAAGGGCATGGCCAGGTTTCTCATAGCAACGCCTCTGCCTCCTCATTAATTTCTGCATTAGCTGATGTTTCTTGATGCTGTGACAATGACCAACAAAGGCATCTTAAGGATGGGAGAGTTTGTTTTGTTACAAATTAAAGAAGGGAGAAAACTTGTCGTGGCCCAGGGATGGTAGCAGGAGTTGGACATTGCATCTACAATCAGGATGCAGAGAGAGACAAATGTGGGTACCCAGTTTGCTTTGCGCTTTTCAATCTGAGACCCCAGAGCGTGGAATGGTGCCACCCACATTTAAGGCCTGTGTCTTAGGGTTCCTACTGCTGTGACGAGATACCATGACCACGGCAACTCTAATAAAGAAAGCATTTAATTGCGTGTGGCTCTCTTACAGTTTCAGAGGTTCCATCCATTATCATCATGATGGAGATCATGCAGTGTGCAGGCAGATGTGGTGCTGGAGCTGAGAGTGCTACATCTTGATCAGAACGCAGCAGGAAGTTGACTGGCCAACACTCTGAGGGAAGCGTGAGCAAAAGAGACCTCAAAGCCCACCCCCACAGTGGCACACTTCCTCCAGCAAGGCCACACCTCCTAATAGTGCCACTCCCCTTGGGGGCCATTTTCTTTCAAACCACCACAATAGGTTTCTCACCTCAATTGACTCGATTTAGAAACTCCTTCATAGACACGCCTGGAGATTTGTCTTCTGGGTGATTCTGGACCCTGTTGGGTTGACAGCCACTATTGACCATCACATCCACTGGTAAAACTAACATAACTTTCTGTTTTCCAACATTCTAAAGACACTACAAAGATCAGTTGTGAACCTGTTATTGTAGACATGTGCCCAATTCTTTATTTTTCCAGATTCCCGGAAATGGAACTGCTGAGTTTTAATGCACACAAACAGAAAGTTCTAGAAGATACCACCAGCTCTTCTCCAGTGGGTGTCCCAGTTTACCTCCCCAAAGTCTGAGTTTGAGAATTCCCATTTTCTTTTGTTCTTGACACCTCTTACCACTGTCAGATATTTTGATTTTTGCCAATCTTAGTGCTAAAAATATTTTCTCACTGCTTTCTTTCTTTCTCTTCCCCACCAACTCTGTTTTCTTTTCTTTTTTCTTTTTGGTTTTTCCTGACAGGGTTTCTCTATGTAGC